GCAATATTATTTCATATGGCTCACTCAATGGTAAAATACGAGAGAAAAATCATTGGGTGGTTTTGATAAAAACTTACTGTGGAAAATGCCATATGAAATATAAAACCGCAAATATCTGCGAAACCGTTAAAAATTTTGAAAAATTCTAAATACAAAAATTGTTCATTTTTTAATTCTCAATCTATTGAAAAAATAATATACCTACAGGGTTAAATTTAAAAAAAAAGTTTCGCGTAAAATTTTGAACATCCTGTATGATATCCGATTACCATATTTATAGCAAAGCAAGTACAGACCATCTACAGTAAATATCTAATATCATTTTGATTTCAGGACAGTTTTTGTATTTTTAATAATTTTTTTAAGAAAGGCTAAAAAATATATATTTTTTATTTATTTATTAATATCTCTGAAACTATCGAAATATCTTTACTCATATCTCATACCTTAGGATTATGTAAAGTGATCTAAAAAGAAGTCAAAAATGCAGTAATATACAAGGTGTTCCATTAAAAAAAAATCATCCCGATCCACTCACTTTTTTGAGCCACCCTATAGAAGTTAAAATATTTTCCTGGAATACATCCTAGAACATACTTTAGATTTACACTTAAATAAAATTCCTAAAGTTTGTTATTCTAGGAGCTACAGATGCCCGACGCACTATTGCCGGACACTGTAGATCTCAAATCTCGCGATAAAAGAAATATCTATATTTTCTCTTTGTCGCTTTTCAAATAAGTCCAGTTTTGAAAATTTTCACATTCACTGTTTTCTCCTTCCACTAAATCTAATTTACGATTACTAGTTCTATTACCTATATATACCGGGTGCGTCTCAAAACTGGCTTACCCCTATATTTTTTTTATTCTTTTAGTTAAAAAAACGAGATTTGGTATGTTAGTATACGACATAAATTAGGATTGATTGACGTATTCAAACGTTTTCGGTCACTTCCGGTTTCACCGGAAATGACTACAACATTTGATTTTTAAAAGGCACCCTAGGTATTTTTTTACTTTATTCGATAGAAAATAACACTCTGAATAGTATGACATATCATATGTCAACTTTTGACATTTTCGCATATGGTTATTTAAATTATACCTTACGGTTCATAACCATGATACAAAGAAAATAAGGTATGATGTTGTGCAGGTTGGTCATTTCGTCACAGGTGATAAACGGCACTATTGGTCGGCAAGCCCCGCTCGCCAATTTCAAATTGTCAAACAGATGACACATAATAAATGTGTATAACTTTTGTTAATGTTAATGTGTCATAACTTTTCAAATGTCAAGCTCAATGATTTGACATAACTTTTGGGGTTCTGTCCTGATTCTTCCCTATTTTCATATACATATAACTAAAATATACTCAGAGTGTTCCCTATTTAACCCCGTGGGCTGTTTTCCTGCTGTAAGAAAAAGACAACATAACTCAGCTCCATATTAATGCTGCATAAATCTATTTCACACGGATATCGATTGAACTACGATTGCGCCAAACTCCGATTGATTGTTGTTTTAGTGTTATAGTTCTATTTGGATTACTTTTTATATGTGCGCATAAAGGAGTGATTTTGTTTAGTTTATTGTTTCCAATTATTTTTTGATATTTTTCCAACTCCAGGATAATGTGTTATAAATAATAAAAATATAAATAAAATTGAGGGTTAGGTGAAATGTCAGTCAACCACTTCCCTTTAAAAACACCGACCAATGAAAACTTCTTCAGGTAAGGCATGCGCAGTTAAATGAATATCCGGGTAGAATAGAAAATGCCTTATCCTTGTATATGAATTTTTAAAGTAGCTCAACCTAAGACGTTTATGGATGTAAAGCACCAGATGGCGGGGCGTATTTCACAGTCTTTTACTACAGAAAAATATTTTTTGTTACTCTGAATTTTGAAGCGACCAATAAAAACAGAGAAAATAAAAATCGATAATTTTCGGACTGTGCCAGTTAATTGTTATTATCGATCAGATTTTTTTGTTCATAGATAGAGGTAAAGTTGGTACTTACCTGACCACATTAACTGATAAATTCAATGGCCGACGAGGCCGATGCTTTCACCGATAAGAAAAAAAACCTGTTTGTTTAGATACCTTCGAGATATTTTTCTTTGAATGCATTTTAAAGTATTTTATATTTGTCCGCTTGATCTATTGCACGTGCCTTCGTTCGAGGTTTTCGTTTTAAACAGCGTTCTTATTTCTTTGTAGCTGCTGTGGTTGTAGTACTAGATTACATTTTAGTTTAATTATATTGTTTAGTAGTAGCTAATATTTGTGTTTGCAGTTTATTATTTGTAGTAGTTGAAGGGATATTTGTTATTTTTTCTTTTTGTTTGGTTAATTAGTAAGTTTGATCATTTTTTCAGTGTAAAGTCTTCTTCTACTTTACACTGAAAAAATGATCAAACTTACTAATTAACCAAACAAAAAGAAAAAATAACTAAATTATCCCTTCAATTCATCCTACTACTTAACTACAAAATAATAAACTATAAAAACACTACTAAACTAATTCTGGTATTCTACACTAAACATTATAATTAAACTTAATAAAATTAATCTAATTACTACAACCACAACAACTACAAAGAAATAAGAACATTTTTTAAAACTAGAAGAAACAGAACTTCGATACGTGCGACCAGTATAATAGATCAAGCGGACAAAGAATATAAAATACTTTAAAAATGTGCATTCAGAAAGAAGTTTTTTTCTTATCAGTGAAAAGCATCGGCCTCGTCGGCCTTGCGGAATTTGTCGGGTATTTACAATGGTCGAATTGAATAATTACCAGCTTTTATAGCATATCTAATAGACAAAAAGTATCTGGTCGATTAGTAACCAATTGGCACAGTCCGAAAATTATCGATTTTTATTTTCTGTAGTTGTGTAGTGTTTTTATAAGAGATTATATTCGTTTATTTTGTAGATGAGTGGTGAAGGTATTTGGGTATTTTTTCTTTTTGTTTTTCTTCTAATTGTAGTAATTCTATTAAGTATTGTGATAGATACACTATATCTTCTTTCAACTCCTTTGAAAAGTGCTTATCATATAATTTTGGTTTTCTGGTAGTAGAATATACGAAAAAAAAATCTGATCAGCTTTATTTTAAAATAAATTAATCAAGTCTTATTAATCAAATAAATCTAGTCAAATAATAATAATAGTTAGTTTCTAAATACTATACAGGGTGAGTTTCCTACGATGTTCGCTATGGGTATCTCGGAAACTACTGGAGACAGAGAGTCGGTTAAATGGGGAAAGAACTGCAGTTTTGTGGGGTCTTAAATATGCGCCTTTCGGATTTTTCGGTGAAGTTCAAGGCTTACTAGATATTACGAAAAAAAATTTTGGCTATTTTAAAACTTGTCTCTAATTCCATTATAATCTACCGTATGATCGAATAAAAACGGCGTCAACGATGGCTATGAAATGAAGATCGTTGTCATTTTATATGTAAAATTATATGGAAAATATCATCGATCCTCATTTCATAGCCATCGCTGACGCCGTTTTTATTCGATCATACGGTATTTTAGCCAAAAAATTTTCAGATAAAAGTTGTAGATAATCACATACCTAATGAGTTTGTGTTTTCTGTTTTTTTTCTAAAGCCTGTCATTTTTGACATATGACACAAACATTGTGTTTTTTTTTAAATGGAAACCCTAGTTGGCCATGACTTCATAAAGAGCCCCATTCTTTAAGCTTTTCAGCGATATAGGTATAATATGTTTTTTTCGAAAAATTACAAGTTATAGCCAATTCTTTTCTTTCTTGGCTAATTCCCATACCAATAATACCATGCCAATTAGTTGTCGTCAAAAATGTAAAAAGTTTTATGTTTTCAAAAAAAATATCGTAAAATTGGTAAAGCACTCAATTTAGAATAAAATAATCCAAGAATGAAATGATTCTTTTATAAACCTGCATTAAATCAAATTAAAATAGGTATATAACTTTTTTTTAAATATTAATTAACAGCAATTAGCATTATCATAAATTATAAATAATGTACCAACATATCGAAATAATAATTTCTTTGTTAATACGGTTTAGAATTCTTAAAATAACAGGCAAAAATAATCCACAATTTACAATAAAATAAAAATTTCGTTTAAATTTCTTAATCAGCTGATCACTATTAAAGTTCGCAGAAACCCGGGCTATATTATTACATTACTCTGAGGAAAATAACGAAAATAATCGATATTTTTGACTCCGCCCCGAAAGGTTCACGATTTGTCCTCCAGTTGGCAGCACATTTTGTCTAGTCGGTTGAACAACTTTAAGAATATATAAACAAGGGTCTTATGCAGAATTCCATATTTCTCTTTCACTGTTTGTGCTTCACTTTTTGGAGATTAGGCAGAGTATATTTTAGTTATATGTATATGCATGCCTATTTTAGGTCTTTTTTATTAGTGGCAATTGAACAATATGGATATGTCATTTTCTATCGAATAAAGTAAAAAAAAAATACCTAGGGTGCCATTTAAAAATCCAAAGTTGTAGCCATTTCCGGTGAAACAGGAAGTGACCAAAAACAATTGAATACGTTAATCAATCCTGCTTTATGTCATATACTAACATACCAAATGTCGTTTTTTTATCTGAAAAAATAAAAAAGTTATAGGGGTGAGCCATTTTTGAGACGCACCTGGTACCCGGTATGTTGCCATAGTATCAAGATATTATATTTTTTATCTTTTAAAAAATTTTAAAACATTTAAAAAATTTAAAAAAAATACAAAATTCTCATTATTTTTTACAAAAAACCCTAGACGTATTTTTGGGGTCGAATTAATGACTATACACTAGGTATAGTCTCTCCAACGACTCAGATAGGCGATATCCAAAAAATGACAGCAAATACAATTTGCATGTAAATTAAAATGACAGTTACAATTACCACTGTCAGGAATCTTCTCGTCGGACAGACTATACCCCTAAAATATTTGCACTTATTTAAGACTCACCCTGTATACTTTACTTAATAAAATGCTTGTTTCAATTTCTAATATTACGCGGTGTTTTCAAGGATCGTAATCTGCCCGCTTAGAACGACGCGACGGTCTCCCTTATTTGTAAACTTTGCGGTCCTTAAAGTGTATGCAACCAACAATTCATTTAAAATAACCAAATAACCCGCCCGACGCGCGTCGTCTATTTGGGCAACCGATTCACCGCCTCCAAATACGCCACTCTCGTCTACGGTGCGTAAAAATCGTAATAAGCTCGTCCTACCCGTGTTTAATTCGACAGGAACTCGTTATTATGCTCCCTATCGGGTCACATGTAAATCGATCGTTTCGAGGTTCCCCCACGGCTTTCTAACGCCATGCCTATCCTATATCCTATGTGCCAACGGATTTGCACGTGGCCACTCGTTGGCCCAGCGCATGACCGTGCCGGTTGGGAGAAGTGCGCCGGGGAACCGATTCGTGATGGCGAAACACGTTCCATAGGCGTACGCTACATCACTTTAAAAAAATACACCAAGCAAATTTTAAACATTAATAAGCGTTTTTTTTAACTTGAATACCGGGCGCGTCTCAAAAGTGGCTCACCCCTATAACTTTTTTATTTTCTCAGATAAAAAAAACGAGATTTGGTATGTTAGTAAAGTACGTGTACTGGATCTGTGTCTATGAAAGGAATGCGGACAAAAACATTTAAATTTATCAGCAATATGTTTTTACGTCTACTTGACGAGTACGTCACCGCAAATCGCCCCGCCCACTCATTTTATTGGCTATTTGCAAATTTGTCGAATTTTTTTTGATGGGACGCGTCGTCTAATTTTTTACGAAAAACATCGAGGGAATATCGTTTCCCCTCTCACGGATACCTCGTAGCTACAGAACGGACAGACGTACTGTATGACATAAATTAGGATTGATTGACGTATTCAATTGTTTTCGGTCACTTCCTGTTTCACCGGAAATGACTACAACTTTTGATTTTTAAATGGCACCCTCGGTGTTTTGTTGTTTTATTTGATAGAAAATGACACTCTGAATAGAAAGACATATCATATGTCAACTTTTGACATTTTCGAATATGGTTTATTTAAAATTGCAACATGCCATTCATTACGACAATTTGGCTCGAAATACCAAGTGTGTGGTACCAAATTATTCCTAAAAAAATGCTTTTTCCAAAAATAAGATTTGCGCATCTTTTAATTGGCCAGAACAAGACACGAATAACATTAGACGATCAAATCTATTTTACCAAAGCTTCTTGATTAAAAATTAGTGTTTTTAACACAACCATGGCACGCTATATTGAAATTTAAAATTCAATTTTGTTTTAAGCAAACATACCAAATCTCGTTTTTTTTTTTATCTGAAATAATAAAAAAGTTATAGGGGTGAGCGACTTTTGAGACGCACCCGGTATAGTCGTTTGTAAATATTAAATAATAATAATAATATTTTTAGTATTTTAAATGTATTTACTACTACTAGTTAATTAAGGTTATGTTTCATTAAACGTTCTAGTTGTATGGATTTAGCGGTGCTGAATTCTGTAAAAAAAGTTGAATTTTTGAATCATTTTGAAAAACTCACAGCTTTTTAATAAAAATGTGTGTTTTTAATCTGTTTATAAGCTGTCTGCCAGTTTTGTAGAACAAAACAAAGTATAGTCTGTGTTACGAATCAGGGAAGATTTCGACAGCAGACATCCAAAAAAATGACAGAAAATGCAATTTCAAATTCACAATTTGACTGTGAATGACAGAAAGAATTGTCACTGTCAGGGATCCTGTTATCGGACAGACTGAGCACGTAGGCACCTAATACGCAGATGTAGGATGTATGACTGTTATATAACTTTAGCCTATTTAAAAAAACCGATTTGTTTACAGAAAACTGATTTAGAGCATATTTCTGAGATAAACCTTAATTTCTTTAGCCCGGAGGAGTATCGACTGTGGTATCGATATCCCCCCCCCCCCCTAAAATCTGTAAATTTGGTTAAATATTAGCCTTTTTCTTGGGTTAAAAGTGACACCCTAAAAAGCATATTCTACATTACTTTTTATTTGGGCCCCGGCGCCTAAAATAAATTCCTGTATCCGCCTCTGTGTATATCTCTATCTCTGCCTATAAGACAAAAAGTAACGATATTCAAAAGACGAACTCAAATTTTGTAATGTATTATTTCATGTTCATTCACAAAAAGAGAGGACGCACTGACATCAACACCTAAATCAACAGATAACACACATGCCATGAAACCCTGAATTATGGTTTATTTTGGTTTCGATCATTGGATATTTCCTTACCATGAAGGATAATTTAATGGGGCTAATATTTTACCTACAGTTTAAAAAATCCAACCTTTGAATTTAACAACGTTTAGAAAAATTTTAAAATTAGGTAAATTATTTACGATATTTTTAAAATTATTTTAAAAATGGTTTCGGTAGAGGAGCGCCAATGACGATATCTTTGCTTCGACTCCAAAAAAATATTCCTGGCAGGTAGAATACCCATAGCCATAAATTTAAAAATAGGCTATTGGAACCAGTGAAAATAAATATTCTACCATGATGGCCGAAATTTTTTTTCTCATTTGTTCGACTGGGATAGATTATTTGAGCGGTGCAGCTGTCTCCCGGAGACGCGGGGATCGCCATAGCAACGACCACAGCCGAGCAGCGCCGAACAAACTTGATTCCTATTCGCCGAACTGGCAAACAAAAGACCCCACGGAATTGAAATGGTGGCCTCTCACTCCGCACCCCTCCCAGATAATAACGTGTAATGCGGTGGGGCGTACAGTTTTACCATTGGTCGAAGCCGAAGGACGATTCAGCTCCAGTCGAAGCCACCAGCCAAGGCAGTAGTCCGAATTCCAATTATCTTTATGGTTAGTTGTGTACCTATAGTGTAAAGTGTACTTTTAGTGCTTCCCGTTGGTTCCGGTGCTAGACAATTTATTAGAAACATCGTGGCGTACTTGTTTTATCTTAATTTGCTTTCATGTCGTTTTCAGTTGCTTTTTGTTTGAGTTTGTCGTGATATGGAACGTAGTAGGGGCTTCGCGTTTTATACGAAAAGGTTAGTTTTTATTTTTCATTTTTATTTTTTGGCTTGATTTGCTCCCGTTATATTTTAGTTGCGTTGCCATTTACTACGCGTTCGACGGAGGAACTACATTCTGCCTAACGGTACGTTTTTCTATATGTTGTGTTACGGCTTTAATCCTTCATGTTGTCCTTTTTAAAAATGGCGTTTATGTTTACCAATAACCGCCCAGTTTTAAAAGATAATTTTTTGTCATCATAACAAATTTACGTTGTATAACGTTGTTTGTTCCACACTTAGGTATATACTTAATATCTGTTACTTATCCTTCAAGACGTATAAGGAATTCTTATTTGCAAAAATAGATTGATATGTATTGAAAATATACTAAAATTATAGCCCTATAACCTACTACATAACCTGATGATACCAATATATCCAATCGATAAATTTATATCTATGTCAGTTTACTAATACTTAATTTAGGTATCTTATTATACACGAGTACCGTACAACTCACCGCCATATTTTATAATAAACGTGATAAAACTTACCTGAGGTTATAAAAGTTCCATTGTGACTGAAAAAAAATCGATCCGGCAACGTTGTGCGCTTTAAGAAGTTAAAGGCGACATTCGAGCGCCATTAAAGGGGAACTGGCGGAAGGTTGTATCGGAGAGAGAAGTCCAATGTGTTTAAAGGGGAACCGTAGCGGCAGTCTGATAGATTAGCTATTCGCTGGTTGAATATGTGGAAGGGATTGCGAATGGCGAAGCACACCAAATAATTAATGTGATTGGGTAGCAATTATATTTTTGCCTACAGGTCGAAAGTATTTTCATTTAGATTATTTTAAGTTACAGTTAAGTTTGCAGGATTTATGAAAGTAAAGGATTTAAGTAGTGTTTTATATTTGGAATTATTACACTTTAAAAATTCGGAGGCACCGTTCAAGAATAAAGTGAGGACTTGGTAGTTTGGTTAGGAAAATTATTATACAGGACCTGCTTACCTATGTCCCCGGATTTTGTCTTTACAAGAGGCAAAACTTTTTGATACCTACTTAATTAACTTTTTAACCATTCTTCATAAAAGTTTTTGCTTAGTATTCTAAAGTGGTTAATCTCGTTTATACTTTTCTAAATTTTCTTGTCGTTTTGGAGAAAAATTAAAAATCATTGAAAAATACTTTTAGAATTTTAGAATAAGTGGGTGGGGGGTTAATCTCTGCGACCTTAGAGATCTATTGTGTCCCCCTTTCTTGAGTTATAACTCATCATACAATCCCAGGACTTCCTACGGAGACCCGTGTCCCTCACAGTCGAGGAGCTACGACCCAGGCCGGGTAGACGAAACGGTAGCTTGATGACAGCTATTATAAAATGCACATGTTGCGAAATCGATCAAATAATATAAGTCTGTAAAATACATTTTAATTTATTATTGTGCTATATAAAAATGTCTTAATATTTGACAAAAACTTTGATGTGCCGATTACACTTACCTTACTATTATCGAAATCCAATTTCTTTCCAGATACCAATTTCATGGATATATAATATCATCGACCTTAGTTCTGAACATTATTTGGAAAAAAACAAAATAAAAATGAAACTTCTATACATCCTGTATATCTACGAAACGACGAAATTTAGGAGATAAATGTACCTATACATATACGAACCATGACCAACATGACAGACAGGCCAGAGACATCGATTTGTGACGTCACCGCACTAGTCCGGCTTTTGTATTGTGCCATATTGTACTGCATATAGGTTTTGCATAAATAATAGTATTTATTGATAGTTTTGCCCGATATAAATATGAAAAATATTATACACAAAAGTATTATAAAATAACATTAACTTTTTATCGCGTTAAAGTAATTGAATAGCATTAAAATTTAGATCTAAAGCACGAATATTAATATGAAATTACAGCATAAGATGAACAAAATAAAATCTAGATAATAAAAAGCGTGTTCTAAAATTGCGTTAGTGAGTATTTAGCAACTAGTACTAATATATCTGTGAAAAAGTTTCCAAATATTAAAAAATTTGAAAACTATACGTTTATCGACAAGTTAAGAAAATGTATTGTATATGATAACGGCAGAATACATTTTAAAGTTTAATTAAAAATAATTCTAAAAATTTGCCTAACATATTTAAAAAATGTGGATATCAGATAGAATTAACTATTAACATTAAGTATTTTGTAGTTCGATGTTCATCAAGTAACCATCTC